CTCTCTCTCCTTCCTTCCTTCCTTCCATCCATCCATCCATCCATCCATCCATCCATCCATCCATCCATCCATCCATCCATCCACCTACTTATAAAAGATCCACATGGTTAGACGGGTCCATTTCCCTATTCTAAGGTTTATATTCTCACATCTTCACCAGGGCAGAGACTCTTCAGCCATGAGCATAGAATTATGTCAACACCTTAACAATGGGTAAGGTCTGAGGGGAACTGCAGTCTAACAGCTAAGTATCTACACTAAGACACTACAAGAGCATTCTCATGTGAACAGAACACCACTGCACAAATGCTTTTACAGTTCAACACTTCATTAAACTGCAGTGATAGACTATTATTAAAGAGTTTCACTTATGTTGAATACTTATTCATTAGATTTTTGTATTAGCACAGATTATCTTTAAAGTGAGAATTCATGTGAAGATGCCAGAAGTAATACTATTACAAGGTAAAAATTCTCCCCAAAGTTGAACTTGATGTGCTTGTGTATTCTGAATTCCTGAATTTGAAGTTTCAGTGTTACCCTTTGCCACCCAGCCTCCTAAAGACTACAATTTGGCTATTTATTTGTCTTTTTAATGTGTTCTCATTTCATTCATCTCCCTTTGTATTTCATCTTTAGTTTTTAACTTGGACCTAGTCGTCTTCTCTGTATTTTAAAAGGTCTTTAGAGAGAACATTGCTTTTTTAGTTACTGGTGGGCTAAAATGACTTTAGTCATATTTAATTAGACCTTTAAATCTGATGGTACACTCTTGCCTAAGGCTTTTTTGGGGGGAATTTCTGAAGTCCAATTACAGGGTTATTCTCATAATAAGGACTAATAAGTCATAATGAAATTATTTGCTTTTAAGCCTCATCCAGATGTTGTTTTGAAAAATATCCTTACCCAACCACATTCCTACAGGGTCATTAGTGTGACCAGTACCAACAGGTGAGGTCTGCTGGCTCTCCTGAGAGTTTTGGAGGAGAGGTGAGTCAGGGGATAGTCTCATCTTGCATCCATCATACCATGCCACTCCATTCCCAAGTTCTAGCCCTGCTATTCCCCATCGTTAGCTCAAATAAGTCCAACTGATACTTGATCATGTGTGTGTGGGTTGTGGAGGGCACACACATGGAGGACAGAAGATCACTTTCTGCAGTTGGCCCTCTTCTTCCACAAGTGGGTCCCAGGGATCGAACTCTGGTCAACAGGCTTGGCAGCATGTGCTTTTATTGGCTGAGTCTCACCAACCCTCTACCTGGTATTTAACCAACAAACACACAGTTATGGAACCCTTGAGTATGTGAAACTTCCTGCTGACTTTCCACATTTAAGACAATGCGGTTGCCTTCAGATTTTTCTTTCGCCTTCACAAAGACATGAAGATTTCTTTAGTCTCAACTGGCTGCTGGTTAAACAAAAGAGAATTAAAGAGAAACACAAGAGAAGCTAGCTTGGCCTTTTAAAATATTTTCTTGTAAAACTTGGAAATGAATTTATTTGATCCTTGTTAGCATTATTCTTCCCAAGACGTGCCGTGTTGGTCTCTGGAGTGAATTCCATCAGCTGTGTCCTTTGTATTCATTCCCTCCTTTATCTTGTAAAAGGAGTTGTGTGCTCCTTAAACTTCAATGCAATGGGCAATCAAATTCCATCACTCTGTCTCAGTCAGTGGGTAAGCATAGATATAAGTCATAAGCAGTCCTGAAGATGAACCTCAAGACTGCTCTTTAGACAGAAGATGGAGTTCTTTATCCAGGCACTCTGGTGGGCAGATGTGTGAGCCTTGACTGACAACATCTACTCAGCTGTGAGTGAAGACAGCCTTTGAAGACACAGGCATGGAGTGGCATCTTCTACAGTAAGACAGCCCTGAAGCCCACCCATATCTGGAATCATGATTTCTGAAAGTCAATTTTCTGGTTGATCTGAATTGAGTTTTCCACACTCACAGGTTGGAGTGTCACTTTTCAGTGATCGTCCCCATACAACGTAGACTTTTCTGCATATCCAAGCCTTTTCCTCAGTTTGGGAACATGTTTCTTTGGTAATAGTTCTGCTTACTACATGACCATCAACAACTTAGTTCAGGTTTCCACTCGCTGCCCTCCATATCTGTCATGACGTCACCATTCGGAACCTATTGTTGTTTGCGTTGTGTGACGCTGTTTCCCGCTGTACTGGTCCTGCCTGTCGGTCCTACCACACTTTGTTACTGCACTCGGTTCCCTTACAATTCCACATCTTGTTCATCTCTCTTTTCAGCTCTGTTTGCACAAATCTAGAATGTGCAATCCATGTGACTTTAGTTTCTGTTTAACAGGATGTCTTCTAGCAGTTTTTGTGCTACTTTATTGACTTTTAGCAATTTTCTTTTGATTTTTTTTCTGATTAATTACGATTTTCTGAATTTTGTTTCCTTTGAATCTCTGGATAATTTACTTTGTCTTGCTCAGTATTATTCCCCAAAAGTTACACTTTTTTCTTTTAGTTTTCTCCTCCTCATTCTAAGAGAAACAATTTATCCATCCATGCTATTTGTAGTCAATGCACATATAATTACCTTGAACCCACTTTTACTGCTTTCTGAGTAGCTATTATATTTTACAAATTTTACATGTTTGAGATAATACCGCTCTTCTGTCTGTTTTCACCTGCAGATATTCCCTCACTTCCTCTGGAAGCCTGACTTTCCCTCCGCCCCTTAGGTGGGAGAGGTAAGTTCATAGTACCATGGAGCACTCAGTAGGAACAAAAGCCCATGCACATACCAAACTCATGCCATCATTTGTGTGTGTGTGTGTGTGTGTATGTGTGTGTGTGAGTGTGCGCACATGTGGGCATACACACATATGTTGCATGCATGCACACTTAAATAGCCAAAAACTCTTAATCCTATTCTTCAGTAAATCCTATCTAATACCTGTATGTTTAAATCTGTCAAGCCAACCGGTGCAAGACACCAACAACCGGACACCATCATGTACGATTAGAGAAGGTACGGCTGTGGATCGTGTTGAACACTCTATTTTCAATGGTTAAAACAAGAAGATGAGCGAGCAACCAAGGGAGCTGACAGGAAAGAAAGAGGGAAAGTGGGCAGAAGAACAGAGGAAGGCGAGGGATACGGGAGAGGAGAAAAGGCGAAGGGAGGGATGGAAGGAAGCTCTGGTAGTTTTTAAGAACAATGCCCAAAGATTCTCAGCCAACTGGAGTCGTTAAATGCCACCTCTGTCATTCCAGGGGAAGGCCAGAGTGGAGAAAGACTCAGTCAGGTACCCAGAGGACCCTTGGCCCAAGTACCAGACAAGGAACACAACAGTGAGTCGCCTGATGCAGTGCCCAGATCGTCTCCACCACCCATCATGTTAGTGCCATCTTTTGCCACACTTCACCATTTGTTGTAACTTTAGCGCCACATAAAGGAAACTATGCAGGAGTACAGTGAAACGGCATGACCTTAATATTCATCCAAATAACTCTACTCCCCTTTATTATCTTGTCTGGGAAATTTGCGTGAATGTTATAAAACAACAAATACATCATGCTTTGGAAGTTTCCAAGGCCAGACTCAACTTGGATTGGAGGTTTATGGTGCAGCTAACACCACTTGGCACAGGCCTGGATATTTTTGTTTTCTATCATTACAAAGCACCTCCTGTTCACCTATTAACAGGAGGTGGGGAGATGTTTGCCATCCACTAAAGGTCAGACTGGTAAAACTGATTTCCATGAACCCAATGTCTCCTTTCTCTCCAAGGATTTTATAGTTAAGAGTGTGTGGCTCCTTGCTTCAAATTAATTATTTTTATCCAACACAGTGACTGAAAGACCAAACAGACCTGAGGTCTGAGACTGAGTCTGAGCCTTTTCCTATCCAGAATGGCTGATGGAGGGGCTTACAGAATCACCCCATGGCAATTTACCACAAATCAAAACTGCAAGTAAGGACATATCATCCAGTGACTACCAACAAAGGAGGAGGTAGAGAGGTTCCAGGTCCTCCCTGGAGGGTGATCAGGATCAGTCACACAGTCCTCAAAGCACAGACACTGTGAATGCTCTGGAACTATTTCTGGACTGTCTGTGGACTGGGAAGAACCATCTGAGAATCTGTCGGAACTCAGCTACATTTTTTTTTCTTTAAAACTGACAGAAAGGAAGATTCCTTCCTACTGCTGCTGAACTGATTAAAAAGGAAACCCACAGTGAACGTTACAGTTGAACTACCTCTCTCATGCATCACCAAGCTTTAAAATGGCTTCATAAGAAGTTACTGTATTTACTTGTTTTCAGCCGGTGTTTGTTTTAGATACACAGGGTAACCAAAGATGACATAACATTCCTATCCTGTATTATTCTTCACAAGCTGTATCTTTCTAGGGATTTGAGGATCGAACCCAGCGCCTCAAACATATCACACACGGGGCAGGTCCTCTTCCACTGAGATACATCCTCAGCTCCCAGATAACCTTTGCTAATTTTCAGAAATCTCAATCCTACCCCCTAAGATCCATACAGATTTTAGTTTAAGGTAAACTTAAAGTTTAAACTTAAAACTTTTGAGGTAATTTTGTTTAGCTAGAAGAGGTTTTAAATGTGTGTTATATGACCTCTAATTTTGCTTCTGGAATTCATCATACAGAAGAAATACTTGGATAAATGTTCTATAAAAACAAGGCTAATGATTTTACAGCAACATTGTTTATAATAGTGTCCCAAACAAAGGAACAAACAAGCTTTAGATGTTTATAAAAGACATTATTATTAACTTATTTTTTAAATTATAGCTGTTATAAAATAAGTGAATGGACAGCTTTTGATTGGTTTAGTGTGCAACCATTTCTTTGTTTATAGAAGAATATTTCTATATGTATTAATATGTCTATATGTAATAATACTATAAATATGTACACATTTATAGTCAAGAAAAGATAGGGAAGTATGTTTAGTGGGTTACCCTGGGAGTTTTTGATAAGAGTACAAAAAAATTCCTATTCTATACATCAGTACCACTGGGCATTTTTACAACCAGGCTGTTCTTTAAGAGACACAGCAAACTGATATCTAGATCTCCTAACTCAACCTGTGGCAGTCCTCGTTTCTGAAGGCATATGGATCAAGGTCTCAGATGAGGAGGCTTCCCAGGTATAAGCAGTGTTTAGAGAGATCATGTTTGGAAAAATCTGCTGGTGTTGATAAACGCCAACTTATAGATGTGAACTGATGCCCAAGACACAGTTCTACAGAGGCAAAGTATGTTAGAGTGAACTGTGGACATTACATACACTGTGTAAGATTTCAGAAGCCCAATATGGTCAAAACGAGGAAAGCAAGGGACGGCAAACATCTCAGGCTGTGCATAGATGGTGCCTGAGGACTCCGGAGCACAGTGAACTCCAGAGAAAGACATTAGGATCTAGAGGTCAGTGGCTTGCCCCCCTCAGTCACAAAGCTGAAAGGGCTGGAACACACACTGGGATTTCAGTCTTAGGAAAGAATCTGTGTCCCGCAGTTTCTGGCTGTACATATGGGGGATGACCAGTGTGCTCAGGAAGACCATGGCAGAGAAAAGTTCAGTAAGACAGCTGCAGACAGGATTGTGGAGTGAGAGGCAGGCTGTGGTGGATTCCTCCTGAAGGAGGCAGCTCTTGTACTGCTGTGGAAGCTGAAGAAAGGCAGGTAGGTGTTGGGAACAGAAGGGCCAGGGTTTCTAACATTTAAAAAACATTTTAATGTATTTTATGTGTGTAGGCGCTTTCCATGAATTATGTATATGTATCATGTGTGTGCCTGGTGCCAGAAGAGGTCATGGGGTACTGTGGAACTGGAGTATGACAGTTGGAAGTCACCATGTGGGTGTTGGGAACTGAACTCAGGTCTTCTCAAGAGCAGCAAGAACCCCTAGCCACCATACCCTCCCTCCAATTCCAAAGGCACGGGTTTCTAGGTAGGAAAACCTGGAGCCACATTGTAGGGTCAAATAAGGACATCTTGCTAAGGGCCATATGAAGTCGGGGCTTCTTTACAAAGGTCTTTAGGCTCAATAACCCCACATTAGTTAGGTTAAGTTTTTGTGAAAGTGTGATTATGGAGTATGGACTCGTCATAGACACAAGTTGGTGAGAAGTGGTGTTGGCAACTGACTGTCCCAGGTGGTGAGTGTTAAAAAAGCCCTGTGTCACGGTGACAGAAGTTGGTGTTGGAAGGAGCAATGCCCGAGAGACCCAGCACACATGACCCACAGGACCTGGGTGAAGGAAGATGAAGATGAACCTCCAGTGACTTTGAGGACTCCGGTGGCACACATGTATTTCATCAGAACAAAGGAAGGAGAAGCAGCAGGTTCGAGAGGCCACTGAAGGAGAAGGCGCCTTCAGGAGGATGGCAGACACGGTCCACCTGAGGGTCATCTCCATCTTGTCTAAGTAAAACTTTTAGGAATGTAGCTTTAGGACACGGGAGATGAAAAGAAGCCGATGAAGAGGACTGAGGTGGAGGTACCCAGGAATGTGCTCATCACCCACAGGCAGCCAGGCAGGTTTCTCAGAATGAGAGGGTGCATATTCAGAGGCTGCAGATACCCAGTGAGAAGTGGAAGGAGGTCCCTGGATGCCCACCCTTGGGTGTCAGGAGGCCTTTGCGATCATATGTGACTGGGTTCAGAGCCTCATCACTGACGAGATAGGCTGTGGAACTCTACACTACTTAACCTTGCTGGCCTCGGTGTCGTCCCTGTAAACGGAGGTGGCAACAGAACCCCATGAAGCTACTCGGAGATGTAGATGCAACTACATTTTAAACCAACGGATATGGCAGCCGACTCACAGTAAGTAATCTAAAATGTTACCCATCACTTCACAAACTACCAATTCATTCATTATTATTGTACGTGGTGATGTGTGTAGAGTGACTCACATGTGTAGATCAGAAGACAACTCTGTGGATTCAGTTTTCTTGTTCCACCTTTACCTAGGTTCTGAGGGTCAAACTCGGATTTGCATGCCAAATGCTTTGATTCACTGAGCCGCCTACCAGACCCTACCTATCATTTTTTGTCACTGGAAAGGATAAGGGATGAGCCAGTGGTGAAGAAGTGGACGCTTCATCTATGTGTATTCTTTAAAGACCTTTGGCCATGAAGGGAAGGAGAAGGACTGGGAGCTTGGAAAGTAGAAGAAAGGTCATTTGAGACACAGAGTTGAGAGCTAGTAGATGGCAATCTACTAAATCAGAAGAAGGACCACAGACGAAATGGCAAGAACACGGTTCTCGGGATTTGCCTTGACAGGAGGGAGACGAGAGAAGGAGGAGAAGCAGAAAACAGATTTCTGCTTTGAAAGAAAGGGAGAGGATCTGCTTACTTGGACGGCTTTACTCGTCTCAACAAATTGGGGGCGAGGCAGAATGCAGGGCTGGGAGTGTGGAAATCAACAGGATTTTAGTACTAACAGTCTGAAGTAAAGGGAATCCTAGCATGGGACCGGGTCTGCCAGGGGAAGGGGACTAGAGGAGAATGGCAGGGCATGCCTATAAAGAGCTAGTTAGCAGGGCATACCTATAAAGAGCTAGTTAGCAGGGCATGCCTATAAAGAGCTAGTTAGCAGGGCATGCCTATAAAGAGCTAGTTAGCAGGGCATACCTATAAAGAGCTAGTTAGCAGGGCATGCCTATAAAGAGCTAGTTAGCAGGGCATGCCTATAAAGAGCTAGTTAGCAGGGCATACCTATAAAGAGCTAGTTAGCAGGGCATGCCTATAAAGAGCTAGTTGGCAGGCACCGAGCAAATATATGTGTTTGAGTTGCCCTTATTTCTGTCTGTAAGCAGAACTTTCTTTTTAATCATGGATGACTTGGACCAGTGGCTCTCAACCTTTGGGTCGTGATCCCCTGGCAAACTCTATCTCCAAAAATATTTACATTACTATTCCTAACAGTAGCTAAATTACAGTAATGAAGTAGCAATGAAAATAATTTTATGGTTGGGAGATCTCAGCATTAGGAACTGTGTTAAAGGCCACAGCAGTAGGAACGTTGAGAATCACCTATTTAGAGGATGCTTCTTCAGAGGCATTTCTCTGAGAAATGAGTCCAAATCTGAAATTCATCCCCAGAGTCACGGAACACTTACTGCTAGTTGGTGGAGACACGGAAAGTATGAGCTGAGCGATTCTGGGTTGAGCCAACTGGGACCTTTACATTGTTCTGTCTCCTACCACGTGAAACCACAATCACAAGTGACATTCTTTCTTGCTCTCTAGTGTGTGGCTCTATGCTAAAGTTCTCTAGTTGATGCAATTAAGACTTAGACTTGGGAGTGTTAAAAAGAAGGCACAAGATTGTTGAGACTGTGAGAATCACTCCCCAGAGCAGCAGACGGGTACTA